TTATACCGGTTTCGGGGAATTCCACCCTTAATCAGTAACTTTCGACACAGACAAATCGAAAAACAGGGCTTGGTTCATGCTTAAACTGTTATAGTATAAATACAGGTTCACTCTGGTGAGTAAATGACAAATGAAAAAACGCCGTACGTATAATGAAACCAATAAAAGCGCTTTAGCCCTAACCTAGTTACAAAAGTTAAAGTCTTCATAACCTATGTAAGTCGCTAGTGTAAAAGTTAGTAGTAAGACACATTAAAGTAATTATAAATTACCTTATAAATCACATATTTTTTCAGATTATAACTTTTTCACTCTAAGATAAACTGGACTCCGAATATCTTCTTTAAGTCTTCATCGACTTACCTTGTTTGTTGTAAAAACCACTAAGCGATATAATGGGCTATCAGTGCTCTGACCACAGCCGGTATTGAAACTTCGTTTTTAGCGTTGTAAGCCTTCAGATTTATTGCTGCCCCTCCTGGGGATATATCGGCTTATTTATAACATTTAGACAAACATACTTTCCGTAGGTATCTAAGTCTTATCTTAAAGTTAAGTTAATAACAGTGCAATTCATCCACACATTTTTTTGTAGATTATATAGTAGCATAAAATACGCGCACTCTGCTGTGGGGTTCAAACGTCTCTCTCATGATTCATAGAAGCCCCAATATACAGACCAAACTCCTACATTATCCCCAATTATTTCTATAGCTACCCGTGATCCCATGAGGGACCAGAAATACAATATTCCAATGCCAAAGTGGGGTTCAGCGACCATACAAATGTACTCTAAGTCCCTCATCATGGTTGGGTGATCTTCCAGGAGCGTTTTAGCTCCCCTTGGTAGTGAACTACGCCATAAAGATAAGGAAACCCTCTCGCTTGCTCTAAAACTACGTCAGGAGTTTGCAGGCAAACAAACAAACGCACAACGTGTCTTTACATATGATGTTTTGTTTCATTTATGACTTAGTTTCCTGAAACATGTATACTTTACGCAATTATTTGGAGTAGCACTGTAATACCTACTGGGGTTGGGATTCAAAAAAGTATCACTTAGTCCTGGTATTCTCAAATTGTGGATTGAGGTGGGGTCACGAACGGTAAGTTATGTTAAAGTTTCTCCTGATATAAAAGACTGTTTCGTTCAGATAGTATTGATTAATT